AAAATTAAGAATCATACTAAATTATTTATAACAGAATTCTCCAATGTTATTAAAGTGTTATTTCTCTACAGTCAATGTAGGCATGCCAGTAAAGCATCCATTAAAGTGAATTAACAAAACTAAGTAGAGGGATATAATACTGTTTTGCAAGTGAGTGGAGATGCAGTGGAGTCCAGACTGACCTGTAGAAAGGGATCACTAATGCCCGCCACGTCGTGCTCTGGAGAATAACCTGAAATGACCAGCCCTTTCATGATCTGAACCAGATCTGGAACTGTCTGAAATACACACAGCACAAACGTATTACAACAGAGAGATAGAGATAGAGAGTGTAGAGACACGTATTAGATCAAGTGTGTGTGTGTGTGTGTGTGTGTGTGTGTGTGTGTGTGTGTGTGTGTCCCTCATACTTTTCTGAACCGCTCTAATGTCTCTCGATTCCGCTCACACAGCTCAGTGATGAGCACCACAGCACCATGTAACACACCTACAGATATACAGAGCCAAAACCATGAAGAAGCAACATGAAACTAAACGGTAAGCATGTTACTAAGGTGTTTCATAAAGGTGCATCTACTGACCGTGGTTCTTCTCAGCAAGGAGGGACCGGGCTGCCGGGGCAAAAAGCTCCCCCAATTCCTGGACTTTTCTCACAATGTGAACAGCACACAGAGCAGCCTGGAAGAACAGTGGGGTATCATCAGCACAAAGGATTGAAATCTGTGTACAACAACTGCTATAATCAGGCCACAAATATGCTGAAACTAAATCATACTGAGATGGTTGAATGACTGCACAAAAGGACCATTAATGGATAACTAGTAATGAGTAGGACATAATCAATCATAGTACCTGTTAAATGAACAATACTTTTTTAATATGTTGTTTTTTCACTAGACAGTGGTTACAACATGTAATTAGGGTTGAAAAACACTATTTTTCTCTCACAGTTGGTTAACTGTATTATTGCCATTATCACAGCAATAAATATAAACCAGCATAAACCACATGCAAATATATAAATACAGTATAATAACTACAGAATTACGTTTAAATGGTGATTACAGGTTTTAGTAATATTATTATGTTTGCTGCTGCATCATGTTTGGTCCCCACCTTCTTCTTTATGTAAGAGTTGGAGGCTCGGAGCAGCCTGTCAATCTCTGGTGCCAGATCTCTGCACATCTCAGCTGAACCCATACAGGCCAGCGTGCACAGAGCCAGAGACTGCACATACTGGTTACTGTGAGAAAGGTCACTGGAAAACACACATATGGAGGAAAACACACAAATGACAGTGTAGATCCATGTGTATTAATGAGTGTAAATCATGGGAATATCTTCCATTCTGTATACTATCTGATCCTCTTTTCTACATTTTGTCTACTCCCCATTTTGTCTACTACGATTCCTCTGTTTATGAAGTGTACCACTGTAAATTATGATAATTAAGTGTTGTCTAACATGATTATGTTATTTAAGATGTTCTACACCAATGATGTGAATGGTAATTTATATATATACACACTAAAAGCTTAATTAAAGCTCAACTTTTTTTCTCATATGCATTAGTACTTCCCAAGACCTGTAAACGGACTGTGATGTGTAAAATCAGTGGAGTTCCCCTTTAATTGGATATAAATGCTAAATATGGGGGTTAAAATAAAGTGTTCACTGTCCTTACTTCTTAATAGAGTTGGTAATGAGCAAGCTGGCATCCTGCTTCTCATCCAGTAGCATCATAGCTCCCAGATATCCCACACGCTTCTCGCTGTAGCGAGGGCTGGCTATCATGCGTACACACTCCATCTAGTAGGAAGAGCAACAACGCCGTCAAATGTGAAGTTACTTGAAATACTGACACCACTGACAGCCCGAGGGAAATTTTCTGCTCTTTGCCTGCCTCAAGTGGAGATCAGGCTCATCCTCAGAGCAGCAGCCCTGGAGCTGGGAGGGGGTCATTGGCCCAATTCTTTTTGACATGGGTTTGAGATGCTGACTTTGCTTGAAGGAATCAACCACAATTCATATTGTTCTAATGACAGGGAAAGTCCTAAAGAGCAAGAAGTTTACATACGCATAGCAGCATGTTTACTGATATTATTACAGCCTTTTGTATTTAGCATGTGATTCCGCAGTGTGCTGTTCTTTACACATTTTTGCTGAGCCCACAGATAATGTCTGCGAGGGATCAGTGCTTAGGGACATAGTGGTTGGACAATGTGACTGGGCCACTGTGTTGCACAAGGACAATTCAGCGATAAACTGAACCCAGATCCTCCAGCTGCATGATGGCTTATCACCCTGCTAACCCCATTAACCCAAGCAAACCCATGACAAGCATTAGCGAAATCCCCTCACCTGACCAAAGTGAGCGGGGTAGCCCAGCATGTGCACGTAGAGCAGCTTGGCCAGATTGTGCGATCGCCCCCCATTGTCGGATTGTCGGAACTGTGCCCGGATGGCTGCGCACTCCCTCTGGATGACACCCCGCTCCTCACACTGCGTCCGTGCAGACCTGATGGCCCGGATCATCTCCTGCAGGGGTACTGATGGAGACATGGCTGTGTGTGTGTGTGTGTGTGTGTGTGTGTGTATTGGTGAGTGGTTGGGTGAATGCATTGGTATGTGTGCATGTGGTTTTATGGACATGTTAAAATGGAGAATTAACAGAGAGCTAACCACTTAACTTTGCAGAGGACTGTGCTTGGTTTCACTTCCTCTAACCTCTAGGTGTGTAATTAGACAATGACAAAGCTGTTACTACACCTTAATAAAAGCTGTGCTGTCACAAAACCACATAATTAAAGTGTGTATATTTAAAAAAACAGTTCAAACAACTTCCTTAATTACATTACAGGTCTGGAACACCGACTGTTTTTTGTGGTGACAGATTGTTGAAAGCGTTTTTAACTCCAAGAGCTGACTTCATGGGAAGTTACTGATAATAACCAAACGTTACATTTAGCTATATTACTTATTAACGTTGTAAAAACAAATTTAAATTAACGAGTTAACTAACAAGTTAGCACGACACTCCCCCAGTCGATGATGTGGATCAGTAAAATGACCCAGAAGCTAGCCAACCGACCCAACAGAGCTAACCTTGCAGATGCTGTCAAGCCTGTTCAGTCAGAGACTGTCGAGCTAAAGCGCTAGCTAACTTAGCATGACAGTCAAATACACTGTAAATGACCAAAATGACAACGTACCTCTACACTGTACAGGGAGACGCCAGTATTTAAAAAGTAACCCGGTTCAACAGAACCCCCTCCAATACACGGCAGCAATCAGTTGGCTGGAAACCCCAAATACTGTGTCCATGTAACATTGTAAACGGAGGAGAAATAATCACACCACTTCCTGTCACACCTTTCAAAATAAAAGCCATTTGCTAAACACTGCTTTTGGCATATTGTTTCAAATATGTTTACTGTAACTGTAAGTACTGTTAAAATCTGTCAAAATGTAAGGGAGATTATTAACAGGCCTTCTTCATATGAGACATCTTGATGTGGGAAAAGCACAGGTGCAATTATTAAGATTATTATAGTATATATATAAAAAAAGAATACTGCTTATTTTATCTAAAATCATTTACAAAAGATAAATCTTAAATAGCCCAACATGTATGATTTGTGTAGAAACAACACCAAGGAATTATTTCTGATATTTCCTGAATAGGGGGAAATATGGTACAAGGTCTGACAGGTGTGAAAGACAGAAAATCAAATAGGCAAACCATGAAAGGTGAAAAGCCTGATTATTCGTAACCCATTAGAATTATGGGTGAATAACTAGGTTTATCGGATAAATTGTCCCGTTTTTATTTTATTTTTTAAGGACGTGAAAGAGGTTCCAAATTATTATGTAGAATAGCCCCATAATCGTGACTCACCTATAATAGAGGTGACAGAGGACAGCAAACTACAAAAGGAGCAGGACGATTACTCCAGCCTGGCAAACTGTCCAACTACCCCAGACTTCTACAGACCAAGGCCCCAAAACTGAACAAAATATTAACAAGCTCTCATACAGTCTTCTATGCGGACTGTAGTTAATCAGCATTTGTAAGTATATAATAAGCAATAAAATATGACACAGGCTGTGTGAATTACAAATCCTTGCTCGATATAATCCACTCAAAATGCCAAGTTGCCAAGTTTCTATTATTTATTATAATAAATATAATGATAAAATGATTTATTATTTAAGCATTTTATTTTGAAGGCAAATCCATCCAGTTTCCCGTCTTATTTAGGGTGATGTGACATCTTGACCCATCTAGGCTTGTCATAGCCGCCCATGGCTTCCGCAATTTGATCGCTCATTGTGCGTGCCTCTACTACGTCAGGTGTTCAACAGGTGGATGAAACATTGATGAGGAGGTGCAGCAGGCAGCACAAAACCAGCAGCACTGCAGTGTATGCAGCACAATTCAACACAGTAAGAGACACTGAAGACATCTGGGCATCCCAGTGTGTCAAAAACATAATTCAGGTGACAAAAATACCAGGGAAAATTGAATCTGATATTTTAAAGTTAAGTAGCCTAGTGCAATGTGGGAACATTTTAAGCAATATTTAATTTTCTATCATGTGTTTTGTGTTCAATGATGGGAGATTATACAACTGCTATGACCTATTCATGCATGTGGACAATATAGGAAAAGCTTCATATTAAAATAAAAATATTATAATGCAATCAGCCAGTATGAACTCACCATAGTGATAATCTATGTGCAAGGAAAAATAAACATTTGCTCTCTCTAAAGCATGCCTTCTCTGTATGTATTCAAATGTGAACATTTTGAAATACACCATGTAAGAATTTTTGTTCCTGGTTAGTTTATTTCCTAATTGCTTATGCCTCAAAAGTGTAGAAAATGACTATTATGTTCCACAAACTTTGCTTTTTTGACCTGGACAGTGATATTTTGAAATTCACCTATTTTCACTCACATGAAGTCAGAAAAAAAACAAAACAACCACCACCACATCTATATGCAAATTAATATGTATTGAATCCAAATGAACACCTCAGGGAAGAAGACTTGAAGGTAAAGCTCTGACAAACTGTTTCATAAGGCCAAATATGATGAGCAGTGGTGGCATCACCTTCTGAGGGGCCACCAGTGGCTCCCAGTTGAGCTCCCTTGTTTCTCCCTACAGAGAACTCTGACCGCTGTGGCCAGTCCCGCCTGTGGTAGTGCGCCTTGGTGTCCAAAGGAAAAGTTGCTTGTTGAAATGTAATTGAAAAAAAAAAAAAAAAAAGTTACATTTCAAAATATCACTGTCCTGATCACAATCACATACTGCCAGGAACAAAAAGAAATTACATTGTGTTATAAATACAATTTGGCACATTAAGATGTTGAGATGAGAATAAAAACCATTAAACCATCTTGAAATTTTCATTTTAGTGTTAATACAGTAAGGTGATAATAGAAAAACAAACAAACAAAAAACACACAGAGCTTGAACAATACATACAACTTGCATGTTAAAATATTTTTCCACTGCCTCCTAGAATAACAAACAAACAGTACAATACAGGAAAAGGACAAAAGGTTTAAATTCTAATGTGGAAAAAAAGACAGACTTTCAAGTAAGTAATATTTCATCTCAAACACCTGTTCCCAGAACATACACTGAAACAATTGTGGTCAGGATTAAGGCCAGTCAAAAACAGAGCAAGAAAGTCCAGTGTTGTAGAACAAGTGAATATGAATGCTTATCTTTCTGGGTGTCTTCACTGAGCAGAAGTGTGAGGCAATGTCAATGCATGTTTATGCAATTCAATTAGCCATTTGAGAGCTTTTTCCATCTTCCCCATCTCCATCTTTCTTTTGAGGCCCATTAGGTTCCAGGTTCTCCTCGAAGACTGGGTAGACCACCAAACAGAGCTTTTGGCACATATGAGTCATTTTACCTGGATACAGTTGGGAAGAGAGTAGGGAAATCATTTGTATATTAGAGTTAAATGGTTCATACATGGACATTTCTGAGACACTTGTTAGCATTTACCCTAATTAATATTCCCTTCACCCTTTTATTTCTGTTCTGTATCAAACTGGGTTAACTTTTATGAATGCTGTACCTTGACTTTCAAGAGATACAACACCACCTGTTGTACATTTCCTATTATTTTGACCTGTGTGAAAAAGACTTTAGTTGCATCATATTTTCTTTAGGATTCAAATTGCAGGGTGAAGCAGGGTCACCTTTAAATCTGACAATTACAGCCAAAACTCAACCCCTGGTAGCTCCTGCATTTAATAATGAACCACACTACAGCTCACTTTGGAGTGCACAGACTCACATTTGCGGGCACCTTAGAGTTTAAATAACATTTTCAACATAGATAAAATATGTCAAGACCGGGATGCTGCCTTACCAATCACAATATCAAAACACTGTGGCTTGTTTTCCCAGTAGACTCCCAGGAAATATACAGGGACACCTGTCATCATAATGGCCAGGCCAATACCGCAGACCACTGGCTCAGAGTAGAGGGAAAAGACCAGCAGGAAGGCCCAGAACAGCAGGTAGATCACTGGCCATACCAGGCTCACCTGAAGGATGAGGGACAGTGTTGTAAAACGTCAATATCCTGTCAGCACACTTCTGCATGCTGGCTTAAAATGCAATGTAAAGTAGTTAAAAGTAAAAATATAAGGTCACATGTGGTCACAAAAAACTATTATACATTTTAATATATATTTAATAATTTCTGTGGCACATAGATACCTTTCTCTCATCACTGCAGAGTCATTATGATGCATTGTTGCTTAAAAATCAAAGTTCTACCAGAATTAGGTAGACGTTTGGCCAAAAAGTGATCTGTGGAGCCTGTATAAATAGCGCAACATCCAATAAGCCATGTATTGTGCAGTGTTTATAGAAAACAGTAAGTTTGTTTCAAACTTAAGTGTTGCTATTATGTTACAGCAATCACAATTTTCTGAACATTGAGACCCAAAATTCCACGTGATGTTTTTTACCTTGATGGGCCGATACATGTCGGGCTCTTTGACGCGCAGCACAATCTGCCCGGCGACAGTGACGCCATAGAAGAGGTAGTTGATGAATCCCACGTAGTTTATGAGGGTGTAAATGTCACTGGTGAACAACATCAGCAGAGTGGAGATCAACTAAGAAGGGTGAGAGAGGAGAAGGCATCATTTCTACACAAGGAGAGGATAGAGTAAGAATAAAACAGAAACAGTAAATATTCTGTTTAGTGGGACGGGTCTCACAGTGAACGCTAAGGCTGGGATAGGAGTGCAGCGTGTGACGTGAATCATGGCCAGCAGACGTGGGAGATGGCCTTCCCTCGCTCCGGCGAAAAACAGCCTGAGAGACAGAAGCGAAGACACTTTAGTCATGAGAGCAGGGCCAGCTGGTGCTCGCTTACCGTGTGCAGAGATCAGCTCAGGAAAAAAAACACATAGACACAGTTCAGGTGATTATGGAAGCCCCAGAGCAGAGACAGGCTGCAGAAGTGAAAATTGCAGGGTGAAAGATGGACCAAAACAGGAGTACAATTGGCTCACTGTGTTTTTGGTCAAGTGGGATTATCTTAGCAGAGTCAAACGTGTTTAAAACGTTTTATTCAGGCCTTTTCCCTACATTCTGACATCCAGTTTGAGGCCCTTAGAGATGAGCAGTAACACTGCTGATGCATTTTATTCCTGTTAAGCTTCTCATTTTCACCCTGCTTCTCCAGTTTATCCATGTATATCTACAGGCATGGACTCAAATATCAGCATTGGAGTCAACTAAAAACCCACAGAAGCTGAAATGAGAAGAAAAGGAGGATGGGGACGGACGATAACAAACTGACCGCGACGACGTGAAGAGGGAGCCATTGACCCCCCCCGAAGGTGGAGAGCGCCACAGAGATAGGCATGATCCATGACATTACTCCTAGCAATTTCTCTCCAAATGTCTGGGAGAAATATTAGGAGTAGAGAGAGAGAGAGAATAGATGGGAGGAGAAAACAAGTAGACAGTTGAAAATATATTTAAACAGCAACAGTGACTTATCAGGACATTTCAAAATGGAGTGCAAAAGGGTGACACACTAAGTGTTACGCTACAATGATGAGCATGCGTCAGAGTGCGGCTACTCTAAAAGGCTGCTGGGCAATGCAACAACTCTATTTCAAAGTGATTCCAACTCTGATAAGCTTCTAACTACTCCATGCAAACCAACCAACCAACCACACACACAGATTTTAGTTTTGTGGGTCTGTTTTCTCACCACTGCCACTGCATTTGAGGCCAGCAGCTCCTGTGGGCTCATGGCTGTGATGTAGGCCACATTGGCAAACACGTAAACAAAGGTGACCACAGGGATAGAGATGAAGATTGCGCGTGGTAGATTCCTGAGAGAATAAAAAAACAAGTCTGCGATTCAAGGCACAATAACAATTTCTATGACTGACGTCCAATTTTCCTACAGAAAAACGCTACCAACCATTTCTGAGGCACTTACTGAATTAGATAAAAATGTATTTTTTATGTACGTGTGTGTGTGTGTCTGATGTGTTTAGTACCAATAACAATTGATTTTTTCAAACAAATTCAGTAAATCATTTTAGACGTGTAAATCATTTGCATCTTGCAAGATTAAGAACAATTTGGTAAATTGTCCATCAGATACTGGGGATCTCTGCTGTTGAATAAGTACCATCATATACATGCACAATCTTCCTTTCTCACAAATGTTAAATTCAGGCAAATCATTGTTTTTTTTTTCCTTCTTGCGGTTTCAGTTATGTTGCGGTGATGTGCTTCATAACTTTTTTCCTTTCTCTATTGATAAATCTTAACTTATCACTGTTTAATTCCTTTTTCTTTGTCGAGAGTCTTTATACGCCCATTTGAGTTTGTTAATCTTACACAATCCTTTTCAAATCAGTTAATGTATTATGATATTTGTGCAAATGTGCACATGTTACCTGTATGGGTCAACCAACTCCTCTGTGACATAGTTGAGGAAGTTCCAGCCTCCGTAAGCAAAGGAGCCTTGTAGGAAGGACAGAGCTATCAGACCAACATCATAGTCTTGGAAGGTCTCAAAGGAGTGTGCTGGCTCCAACCAGTAATAGTGACCTGTGAACCAAAATAACAAAAATCTTTCCAACTTTATGTGAACCGCTTTTCACCACCATCGTCTAAGCAGCAGAGGGCACCAGACACAAGACACAATGCTGTTACAGGTCTTTAACTTAACGTTATTGCATGTAATACACAGTTAATTGCTGCTCTTTGACTGCAGATGCAGCGGTCTAAAATGAGTCATTATATATTTCGTGTACAACATCTTTCTGGTCATGAAAGACATATTGAATGGTCTTGTGTTTTTTTTTGGTATTTATCCTCCATCTAATTATGCAAAAATCTTATTGATGGTGCATTCCCTGTTTAACAGTTTTATAATTTAGCCCACAACGTATTTTCAAATCGTCTCAGCAATAATCATCACCAAATCACATTAAAAGGTCTGCACAATCAGACACGTATTGCCACACAAAGTGGGATATGAGGAGGCCGAGTCACATGAATCTGTTCGCTGGGTCTAGCAGAGAGTGTGTGTGTGTGTGTGTGTGTGTGTGTGTGTGTGTGTGTGTGTGTGTGTGTGTGTGTGTGTGTGTGTGTGTGTGTGTGTGTGTGTGTGTGTGTGTGTGTGTGTGTGTGTGGATTATGAGTAGGATGAAGAGCTATGAGGGACTGTAATCCCTCTTTGCGGTTGGGATCACAAATCCCATGAGAGGCACAAGGGGATTATAATGTGATGGCAGCTAAAACGTTGCAGCTTCAAGACCAGTTTTTCCCCCTATTGTGGCATCCGAGACTGTGACAATTGGAGGTCAGGAAAATGGAGGCGTCGTCAGATGGTTAACAAGAAATGAGAAAAACTACATTGTGAAACATTAGTTTTACCTCTTCAGATCATTAAATCCTATTCAAAGTAAAACACTGAGAGGGGAACATCAGTCTCTGGTTGAGCTGCTCACAACTCAGATATATGCAATCTGAGCAGACACTACTTCACTTCAAATAGGCAAAAAAATATAAAAACATGGGAGAGAGATGTGGACAGCAAGAAAGTAAAAGAACTGACAAAATGAAAGAGACAGAAACATTGCATGAAGGCAAGAGAGAGACAGCAAATACTACCTTTGCATATTTGGACGACACCCATGATTATGATGAGGCCCAAGGCCAAAAGCTTGCCAGCGGTGAAGACATCTTGGACACATGTGGCCCAGCGCACACTATGGCAGTTCACCCACGTCAGCAACACTAAAAAGTACAGCCAGAGAATGTTAGAATGATGTCTGTGGGCCTACGTGTTAGTGTCACTATTGTCCCGTTCCACTGTACGTTCCTACAAATACAAAGCTTTCTAAAATGAATGCCAAAAATGAAATAATATTTGAGTCTGTACCCATTTGCATAAAGTTGCAAAGGAAATGGATTTTATGTCATTTAAATTTAGATTTTTCTAAATTAAGAAAAACATTTTTTACTAGTTTTATAGCTTAATACATACAATTATTGCAACAACAACAACAAAAAATGTTTAAAATTATTATTATTTATTTATTATTTGAAGACATGCATTTGTTAATTCACAAAGAATACACATTTAATAATATAGGATCTCCTTTTTAGTCAGAATCAGTTGAAAACGTGAGTACGACGACTGGATGCATAGTCGCATTACACACATCATGTGGATATTCGTTTTTCCCCCACCGTGAAAATATTTGTTTCGCCTTTTCATATTATAATCTAATACATACAGAGAACCTTTAGGTCTTTTAGGATGACTTGTCAGGAGTGAGCAATGAAAATGTCACACTGAACAGAAAAGCTTGTTTTCTGGTTAGAATAGGGATATGTGATAAACCAGTGTTCAGGAGGTCCCAAATGGGAATCACTGCAGGAGATTAATGGCCGCAAAATAGAACATTTCTAAATTTAGGTTGGGTGCAGACCTTCTCACAGCAAGGCGGCAACAAGGGCAGTATTTGTATTCTGACAATTGTGTGAATTCTGAAATCATGTGAAACTAGTCCAAATGTTGCTTGGCCTAAGTGCAACTTTTTACATTCACCCCTAAAAAAACCAAAACAACAACTGGGTTTAAGAAACAAATAAGAGAAACCTGCAGAAACCAACTGACAGACTGGATCACAACATTGCAGCATCTTTTACTAGACCCTCACTGCCTGGTACATTCAGTTCTAATATTTCAAGGCCAGCAACTCCTGTGGGCTCATGGCTGTCATTTCAATGTCCATGCCTCCAGTTTGTAACGCAGGCATTTGTACCAAGCTTGTCATCAAGCTCAAGCCCAGATTACGCAAAACGATCTCACTTGAGTTCCTCTTTCAGGCTTGACAAAGTTCCTCCACAGACACTAAAGATATTACAACAGATTTTTACATGTTGTGTAGTATGCTTGAGTGCTGCATTTGGTGTGTATTCGCTGCAGAACCAAGCAGTTTTTAGTTCACCGTCTCCAACACACGTGCACCAACAATTAAATCTGCCTATAAGTGTATATTTGACATAGTAGAGGGTCTTTCTTTGCCACGGGGTATAAAAACAATGGAAGAAAAAAAGACTAAAGGAAATGAGCCTTAAATTCACCATGCCTGAAATCATTCTTGTGCCGCTTCATGATCTGTATCTGTGAATGCACTGACCTCTAAAAAGCCATTTCATCTTCAGTTTTATTTTATGACTCACGCAGGCAGACAGCGGCCATCAGGCGTAGGCCATTCTCTGGGGGGAGGCAGGAGGGGAAGAGGGGCTGCAAGATGTAGTTTGAGAAGGTGAGAGCAATCACAGCCTGGTTAGTGGGGTAGATGACCAACACCGCAATCCACAGACGCAGAAAGCTGAGGGACAACAAAAGCAGGAGGTTAATGAGCTGTGGCAACAGACTTGTGTCACACACACACACACGCACACGCACACGCACACCTAGCCCTCATTACAGCAAATTGTAATGACAATTGAGCATATTAGCTAAGTGCATTGTAGTAATGCACTGGAGCAATGTTGTTAAAGACAAGAGAAATTAACCGAACTGGGTCAGAGACATTCTGGGATGCTGGGAATACAAAACTACATTACGAGAGGCTTTAATTATACGATGAGCATGGTTGTGGGGTCGTACTATAAATATTAATTAACTACAAAATTGCTGTAACCTTGCTTTGTATGGATTTTTTAGACTGCTTTTATGCATCATGTGACAGAATATCACATGAACTATACGGGGTTGGAACACAATTTACAGAGTACAGAAACCCATGTAACTACAAACACCTGTTAAAGCCCTTTTATGTAGAAATGTACAACATGAAGTTTTTGTTTGCAGCAAAATGAGATGATCCCAGTTAACATTGGTACAGAGTTAACTGGGATCATTTCACAGTATATTTTACTGTTTCACCCTGCATGCCTGATTAGTATCATTTTATTATGTTGCAGCTAGGTGAAGTTTCCTATGGGAAAGACGCTCATTGGAGAGTCCTTGATAGGCCTTCATCTCAGGTCCTTCCTCCCTAAGATAGCTGAATAATATCAAAGTCACTTGTTTCTTCACTGGCTCTTTGTCTTACACTCTGCAGACTGTTTGCACTCTGTATGTCTGTCTGACACTTTGAAAGAATAAAACACTTAACATGTCAGGATTGAATTCTTTATTTCAGAAGACTCACTTAAGGTTTGATTTCCATTTCAGTACCGGCTACTCTAGAGTCATCAAAATCTGATATTTAAATCCAACATATAGGGGACTTTTTTAATCTTAGCCTGATAGTCACACAAATAGCATTTGTTCTCACCCAGCCAGTCCTCCAAAGATATCTTTGACATAGGAGTAGTCTCCCCCTGACTTGGGGATGGTCACGCCCAACTCAGCATAGCAGAGAGCACCAATGGCTGTGATAATTCCAGTGGTAACCCACACAATGATGGCCACACCCACTGAGCTAGAGTTCTCCAGGACCCCCTTAGGACTCACAAAAATCCCTGATCCGATGATGTTGCCTGAATGAGTTAAAAAAACAAAACGGACAACAGAGCACAAATTAAGAAACAAATCAGAAAAAGGGTTGGATGCTCTGGCCTATAAATGTTACCTTTTAAATACGCACAAATAAATTACTTGATGAAATCTATGGAAAAAAAATAGAAAAAGCGAATCAAATTGTATACATCTATACCTTGCTTTTTAATGTCTTACTTTGCTCCGTTGTGCTCTGCCTCTGTTTTCCTGATGTTTTGTTTATTTTCTTATTTCTCTCTTGATTTTCAGTATAATGATACAATTATATTGTTTATTGTTTTGTGCTCGAAAGTGTTGTAGCATCATTTCGACCACTGTTGATTAAATTCTATCCTTCATTTTTGTAGATTTATTCCCCGTCTTGTTTTGTACGTTTTATTTGTGCTAAAATGAAATAAAAAGAAAAGGGTAGACAATTTCCTGTCACATTATGCCACATTTCCTGTAATACAGAATTAACTTTAGCCTGTTGGGCTTGATTAATTTTGCTTCATGTGGGACTAGTCCAGAAAGAATTTGTTGTATTTTGCTTCTGACATCTGATAAGTGGTTGAAAGTATAGCGCAAGGCTGATACAGTGGTACCAAAAGAGACAATTATAGTGGCAAAATGTTGACTCTCTTTTTTAATGCATAAAGAGATGGCAGAATGAGTTCATCTACTCTGTGTGACTCTCGGGACCAGCAGGAAACAAATACAAGCCTGAAGGCAAATACAGCAGAACATCAGTTGTCACTTGCTGGTGACTAAAAGCTATTATGCAACACTGACAAAAAGGCTGCACTTAAAGTGGCAAAGTGTTGTGATTAATTCAATTTTTATTTATATAGCGCCAAATCACAACATTATCTCATAGCGCTTTTCATGAAAAGAACAAGTCTAGACCATACTCTGATGTTATTTACAGAAACCCAACCATTCCCACCAAGACGTGACCAAGCGACAGAGGCAAGGAAACTCAAGCAGAACCATGGCTCAGGGTCGGTGGCCATCTTCCTCGACCGGTTGGTAATGAGTTTGTCCACCCACTTCATACTGGGGCCAACACAGAAAATGAGTACAGCCAGTGGTGCAGCGACCACGCTCCAAACATGATTCAGATGGTGATGGTAAATGCAGTCTCAACAATGGTAGACACCCATTAGTGGGATTGCTTTTTATTGACCGCCCTTTTTTTTTTTTTTCTTTGCATGTGTGGGAGGATATGCAGGGACTGAGCAGGTTTTGTGGCAGCTAGCGATTCCGTGGAAACATGAAAGTGCCCGTGAAAAGATGAATGATGCTGGGAGTGCACAGAGGGTGTCCCGCAATCATGACAGAGAGAACGAGGGAGAGACTTCAGTCAGTAAGGCTCAACCACTTAACAGTGGAATGTGAATTGCTTTATTTCTAATTCATCTACATTGTCTTTATACATGCAAAAGGAAGAATAGTCAATTACATCATTAAAATAATATTCAACATGCAGCTTAAAATTGGCAAATATTACATAGGTGGCTGGGATCTACATTTAGACCTTATTACTCCAAATTAGAAATGTTAAATATCTGTAATGAAGTCCAAGTGAAAAAAGTAAGATTTATTGTTGTTGTTTGCTGTTGACAGGGGTCTTTTAAGTTTAAGCTGAAGTGTAAAGCAAATTAATTTGCAACTCTAATCATTCAAGCCAACAATGAGAGCTTACTGATGATACATAAAATAACCAACTCAACTGTCATATGAAATTGATTCTAAAAGCTGATGTTAGTGACTGAGGTGGATGTGCTTTATTTCCAATACAGTTAACGTGTGAAGGGACTTTCCCCAGATCATGTATAGCCTACTTACCGATTATGATGCCACATGCGCTGCCTAGGCCAATCTGCTTTTTTCAAAGCCACCCCGGAGCTTCCTCCTGCATCCTTCCCCACTTCCGACTTGGAGTCTGGGGGCTCTGACTGACTGGCCCCGCTTCCGCTGCGCTTCCTCGGACCCTCGGTCATCCTGAAGCCCTTCCCAGCGTGTCCCCCTCTTACGTGGTTCAGGAGACTGGGACAGCGCCTCCTTCTCAGCCTATAAATATATACATACATACATACATACATACATACATACAGTATCTCACAAAAGTTAGTACACCCCTCACATTTTTGTAAATATTTAATTATATCTTTTCTTGTGACAACACTGAAGAAATGTTGGTGGTGGAGCAATGAATAATCCACATGCGTTCGGTGTGAGAGATCCGGGTTCAATTCCCCACTGTGACCCATCCACCAATGTGTCCCTGAGCAAGACACTTAACCCCTAGTTGCTCTAGAGGTGCGCGACATAGCAATTGTAAGTTGCTTTGGATAAAAGCCTCAGCTAAATGAATAAATGTAAATGACACTTTGCTACAATCGAAAGTAGTGAATAACAGTGTAAATTTGCTGTCCCCTCAAAATAACACATCACACAGCCATTCATTTCTAAACCGCTGGCAACAAAAGTGAGTACACTCCTAAGTGAAAATGTCCAAATCGGGTCCAGTTAGCCATTTTCCCTTCCCGATGTCATGTGACTCGTTAGCGTTACAAGGTCTGAGGTGTGAACTACAAAGACAAGTGTGTCTTGCCTATAGTCAAGCATGGTGGTTGGAGTGTCATGGTCTGGAGCTGCATGAGTGCTACCAGCACTGGGGAGCTACAGTTCATTGAGGGAACCATCAATGCCAACATGTACCGTGACATACTGAAGCAGAGCATGATCCCCTCTCTTCAGAGACAGAGCTGCAGGGTAGTATTCCAACATGATAACGACTCCAAGACGACCACTGCCTTGCTAAAGAAGCTGAGGGTAAAGCTGATGGACTGGCCAAGTATGTCTCCAGACCTAAACCCTATTGAGCATCTGTGGGGCATCCTCAAACAGAAGGTGGAGGAGCGCAAGGTCTTTAACATCCACCAGCTCCGTGATGTTATGGAGGAGTGGAAGAGGACTCCAGTGGCAACCTGTGAAGCTCTGGTGAACTCCATGTCCAAGAAGGTTAAGGCAGTGCTGGAAAATAATGGGACTTAGGGCCCACTTTTGTTGCCAGCGGTTTAGACATTAATGACTGGGTGATGTGTTATTTTGAGGAACAGCAAATTTACACTGTTACACAAGCTATACACTCACTACTTTACATTGTGGCAAAGTGTAATTTCTTCAGTGTTGTCACAAGAAAAGATAATCAAATTTACAGAAATGTGAGGGGTACTCACTTTTGTGAGATACTGTACATACATAACATAGGATACAAGTATTAAAGGTAAATTAATAAATTGTTTTAATAAAGTTAAACGACTCTGCAAACATTATTCCCGGACACAGTTGCTGAATCATTTCTCTATGACTTTCCTTCGGGCTATTAGATGGCAAAAATGCCGATGGCAGAGGTTTCCATTTTTAGTTGGCTAGGCTACAGAAGTGCTAAAATTAGAAACCCAGCATTAATAATTCAGTGCAAAGCGATGCGCAGCCACTGTATCGGGAAGGTGCATGGCCACAAACATACTTTGACATCATTTAAATGTGTTTATTAAAACAAGGTCTATGTTCAAATTTATCGTTTAACATATAGCATGGCCTATAACACATTGCAGGACACATTGCAGGACCAACCGGAGTTTTTTCCTGTAGCCCATAATCAACAAGACTGCTGTAATTTGCAATTAACCCATCAGCACCAACGTTAACCTCACGCTCTTTGTTTGGCTGCATAAGCCTCAAGCGAGTAACTCGTAAAGAAGTGCTGACCCACCTCTTCGGCAGCTGCGGTGACTTGAAAACTACCTGAAAGCTCCCACTCATGTGGCGGACTTCATTTTCAGCGTTATTGCTGCCGGTCGGGATAGTAGAAGACTTCCAGCTGACAGCCCCGATAAATAGAAACGCTGGTTATTTTCAACCAATCAGCTTAGCCCAAATTGTCAACACGTCTCAGGCCCCGCCCTATGGTTGTAGTTCCTATTGTTAAAACTGAAGAATCCGCCACAGCACCTCCTAACACACCAGCTTCAATGCAACGCTTAATTTTAAAAATTGCCCTAAATAAACAATTATCATAATGGAAGTCTTGACTAAATTAAAAGATGTAGGACTACTTAATTTACAAACGCATTATAGTGTCCAAAATACTGCATATTTCTAATGAGGGTCCATAAAGAAGGCTATATATAATAAATACAATTATTATATATAGGCCCTATTGATATTGCCAAATGAACATTCAGTAAGCCACCAATTTTCAAAATCACGTCAAATTATAACCGTTTTTTAGATCTTAAACTGAGAGTGGTTTAAGTGATAATGATGTATATTGGATTGGTTGTAGGCAGTACATGTCCTCTAGTCACCTGAACTCCTGTATCTTTGCAATATTTACATCAAGAACCACAAAAGTTTTGGCCTTTATGGTGACATCTTTGCAGTTGTGGGTGACTACTGTTCTCCTTCTCAACATGTCAACCAAAACACAAACAATGAAACTTGTCTATGAAATGCTTAAAACCGTGCATAAAATCATCTTACATGGATTATTATACTGGCTGCATTAGTTTCAATTTATGGCAATTGTCAAAATCATGATAATTTTGTTAGAACCGGCAAAATATTTAAAAATCCTCTTTTGGCCCGAGTTGTGTGCTTCAGTCTTAAGCAACTACAACAACAAAGATATGCACAAACAACATGTCTGCAACATGATAAGACCAGACTGGGCGTGTTTGTGGTCCTACACGTGTACAGTCAAGGAAGGGTAATGTAAGTCAGACACGGAAAATGAGTAGTACAGACTAAGATGAGTGTCAGGAAGGGGAGTGTGTTGGGCTCCTGAGATTCTCATGCTGTCATTACGTCATATGGAGCAGGGTCACTATCTGTCGGCTGTGACTGAAGAGCATATTTAAGTGCTTTTGTAGTGTCTGTGAGCTGAATTGATTTTAACAGTTGCACTGATGCAGAAACACAATGCATTGTGTTTAGATTGATGAGTCGGTTTTGTTACATGTGACAGGTATGTCTGTTCTAATGAAGGACATAGGCTCCTGGGTGAATGAATTTCCCCTTGCATTAAAATAAATTTAAACCATACACCTTCCATTTGTAGCTCTATTGGCCTACAGACAGTGGCCCCCAGTTTGAGGGGCCACTTTCTTTTGAAGGGGGGCATGACAGAAAGAAGTTGGAGAACCACTGGTTTAGACCAAATGGAGAATACTAGCAATATTGACTACTTTAGATTGTTACCTGAGGGTGACATCTACTGGACACATCTTTTAACAATGCTCCTACCATCATTCTACAATCAGTCACTAACTTTTATACTGACATTAAATCTGATCCCAAAAACATGCAACGCATGGTGGCACTAAACAAAGAGCAGAGCATATGGAGAACATGTTGTATTTATTGACATTGTTCAAACATACATAAACAAAATGACAACAGTGTGAAGAGACAGCCCCCCGAACAATATGGTGACCTGTACAGCATAACATTCCTCTGACCCTCTTGTGTTGAGGAGAAGGGCATTTCATCATGTATGTATCGGTATGGAATGTGTGTTTGATAAGGCAAAGGTCCTGTTGGACTGAGTGTGTACGATTGCAATGTCAGTTTTGAACAGTAGGAAGAAACAAAGACCTTAAAAATAAACCGGGGGTGAAGTGATCTTATCTGAATCAGCCAATCCCACAGCAACAATACATTTTGTGTACAGGTGACGTCCATGCCTGCTGAGACAGAATTCTCAGAAACATTTTTCCAATCAACTTTTTCATTGCCGGCTTAAAAGGTAGCTACTACTGGTCATTTTAAAACCTAGACCGCATCTGAAGGGTTTTGCACCACGAGCCCAGGTTTTAACTGTGTGTATAAAAAGAGCCAGGCCACCTGCACTTTAACTTCCACCAAGTCGTACAGAAACGTGTGTGTGTGTATTTCTGTTGATGGATGTGCTGACGTGTCATCTTCACAGGCCGATAGTGTAGGAGCGTCCAGCTGGATTGTGGATGGCAGAGCAGGAGGGCTCGGTCACAGCCCATTCATACCACACTTTCTTCCCATTGTTGCAGCGCCAGAATCGCACCGTCACGTCATCGTCCCGGGATATGGAGATGGGTTGCTATTGGAAGGAAGAATTTGAAGAAGGTAGGATTAATACGTGAACACAGTGATGTATACTGTTAAATTTAGAAGACAAAGGATTTTTATTGAGTATTGACTGTGTAACTTACTTTGAGGGGGAAGAGGATGGGGAACCAGGAGAACATTCCAGGTGAATGTGTATCTGGTTTTATACCTGCCACAAACACACACACACAACACAAACATTAATATTTAGGTCTAGTTTTATCACAATGAGACTTCCCCTTTATAAAGATGACTTACTGAGTGTGACATCTTTGTACAGAGTTGTTTCAAAGTAGCCAGCAAAACCATGGAGCACAGAGTTACAACCCACAGAGAATCTGAGGCACTGATACCGATTATTGTTCATATCTGAAAGAAGAAACAAAGAGCGGTCAACATATTAAAATACATCTTTTAAGGGTATAGTGTACTCGTTCCTTGGCATACAATATGAGTTTAGGGTGTGTGTGTCTACCTGTTGTAGGGTGTGAGAAGGTGAAGCACGGTTTAGGGTCAGCCAACTGGTGGAAGTTATGGAGGCGCACTACATAGGGAGTCTCAAAATGGCACTCTGGGTCCTTGTCACGTTCCCGGCACCCCCGCACTTCGTTGTAAAGCTTGGAGGAGGACAGGGGAGCCAGGAAGGACGTGTAGGAACAGGGGATGCTCACGCCATCATCTGAGAGTGATGTGACAAGACAAGGAAAAGGGGAAAGAGAAAGTGATTTGAGATGAAAGGAAGCATGGAAGCTACTGGAGGATGACAAATGCTTTCCACATGTGCATCCAGTGACTGCAGCTACAGTGTCTACATGCAGTACATAGATGATTCTTTAAAAAAAAAAGACAAAGAAAGTACCTTTGAGAAAGTGCTGCGCTCCATCCAAGCACTCAGGGGAAAGTTCATTGTCACCAAATGATCCAAGCAGCTCGCTGACAATGATGTCGGCTTTCTCAGGTGCTGCCCAGTCCCGCATGTCACATGACACCACCGTCACCTGATCACCCCACTCCTCAAAGCGCCAGTTCTCCAGCCTGAACAAGTGTGGACCAGTCGAAATGTTTTTTTGCATGGAATCAATAACACGAGCATTTAAAATATCTAAGCTCCACTTCACACATTGATATACAATCACGTTAAAACACTCATAATGGGTTATCACCATGCAGCAGTGGAACTCTGCAATATCTCCCTGCAAGGGATGTTTGATTTTCTATTTGGTCATATTGGGTAGCCGGAGAGCCATCAATCTTCCACAACTACTTTACTTTTCAGTACTACTTTCATTATCTGATCACACCAGGATGCACTAACAAGACAGGCTTGAAACTTCATGAAACATTGTGGGCCAATGATAAAAGTTTAACTGCATAGGTCTGTGAATATTTTGACCCCCTCGGCAGAGACTTAGGAATTGACATTAGTATTTAACTCACGTGATTACAGCATTGGGATTTTTCTCCACAGCATAAACCTTGAGCTTCCTGTCTGCCTGTCTGGCAGCACGCAGGGAGGCATTGACCAGGGGACCCCTCCCTGCTCCCAACACCATCAACACCCTGTGACAAAGAAAGAGACATAATGTTTTAGGTTGCTGCGATCACTGCTCCATGCAAATCTCTACCAGGGGATACAGCGGTATATTCCCAACACTAACTGGAGTTGTAACACGTCAGTATTTTTTCCAAGAACGTTACCCTGTATTATATGGTGCTTTATCAGGGGTACAGAGTGTTGGGTGCCATTGTCATTGTTTGTTTTTTAGATATGTGGAGCTACTCACTGAACGTTTGTGTCTTTCTGCTCCTCTGGAACTCTGTCAAGCAGACATTTATACACAGCCTGTAAACACAAAGACAAAGCAGGAGTATCAGTATGTTGTGTCAACCTCTTACAGACTAAATACAGCTCATCTAACCCCTAATTTCACACAAAAATAGACATATCAGTGGTCTGCAAGAGCTACAAAATCTGTCCTGTCTGTACAAACAGCAGATGAAATATTTTAAAGTAAGCTCAGAGTAAGAATGGGTAAGAAAACTACTATAGCTACGCTGCCATTTGTATTTGTCCTGAGTCTGCTATCAAACCAGTAGATCTTCTTTAAATAAAGACTTTTCAGTAGGCCACACAGTGAGTTTAAATTAACTTTATCCTGTAACTGCTTTAAACTGCTGACTTTGGGGTTTGTGGGTGACTAACAGCAGCTCTCATTTCTAGAAATCTGGCCAAGTTTATTAGTGGACCAAATCCATGACAACCCAGAGTGGAGACCAGGAGTCAGAGTCGCAGTCTAACACACTTCTCTGCTCCTCCATTTCAGGAGTTACTTAGTGAAAACCTTATAGTGACGGTGTCTGCCCCCCGACCACTGAAATTATTTAAGTCAAAGGTAAATAGAAGAGGAGTTGTGCATAAAAACCTCATAAAAATTAAAACCACAAGAGCAGTAGTGCAAATGAATAGGAAAATTAAATGTGGACTCAAACATCAGATCTCTCTCTTCTAAAGGTGTACTAGTAAATGAACTAATATCAGATTATGATATTGATTTATTTTGTCTTACTGAAACCTGGCTGGGTGATGGAGAATGTGTTAGCCTAAATGAATCCACCCTCCCAGTCATATTAATACTCAAATTCCTCGAGGCACAGGCCGAGGAGGTAGAGTTGCAGCTATCTTCGACTCTAGCCTACTAATCAGCTCTAAACCTGAACTAAATTATAACTCATTTGAAAGCCTTGTTC